CTACTACTATGTAAAAACAATAAGCCCAAGTTTGTAATTTTTTTCAGCCATTGTTGATTTGTTTTTCACACTAGAGATGATCTCGAGGTGTGATGCAAATTATGTTCTGTGTGGCAAATAGGTCTGCCAGTTTAGATTGTTTGGCCATTATTATGATCAATATTTAGTTGTGCAGATCCAAAGTTTCAGAAACTGCTGCAACATGTGGCCCCAACACACCATCAAATCACAGTGGCAGCTTTGCAGTTGGAGCACTATGTGGAGATAAACAGTATTGTGGCCTTTTTAAAAGAATGAAATCGTCAGCATTTAACACAAAATGTTAAAAGAATCATCGTACTTATATTGTAGAAAACAGATTCTGCTAGCATTTCCAAAACAAGCTAACTGAGAGGACTAAAAATGTTGATTTGACACATGAGAAAAGAATTCATATTGTACCAGTTTCAAAGCAAATATTTTCTCTTTTGTACACTTAGAACTATTTTTCTTTCATCTATATTTTGACTTAGATGTTAAATACTTCAAGTATCTAGAAACTTTTGAATACTGGCATAGTTCATTAAAAATGTGTACGTGTAGATTTTTCTTTCATTACCTTGTCATTTAAGCTGAGCTCAGGCAAGGTCATTTTTAATTATGTATATAGTATTTACTAATGATATGCAAGTGCAGTTAGTTTGAGGCAGGTGAAGGGTATTAGACAAAACTATGATTCACATTATAGTGCTTCAGTTTCCTTCTAATAATAAATGTTTTATTACGGTCATTGACCAGCAAAAGTAAGGAACATTATTTAAATAAGGAGACCATTAAAATAAGGAGAACATTATTTAAATCAATCTAAAAACACTAAAAATATCTCTATTCACATATATAAAACTACATTCATACATCTTAGTAAATATCTCCTGCCTCCCTATCATAGGCCTTATCTATGGGGTGTTGCAGCTTGCATAGAATGACAGAATTGTTACTTTGAAGCTCATAGCGCCCCACTGATCAGTTTCCTTCTATGATACTTTCACAATGGTAGATTAGAGGAGCACACGGATGTCACATGACCAGCCAAAAAAACATTCTGGAAGTCATTTCTAATAGGAAGTCATTTCTAATAGCTCAGTTCTGGAGCTTCCATTTTTTGTTATGGCGACAGTCCAAACAAAATATTATAACTTTTGAATGGTTTCTTGAATCAGGTCCTTGTTTGGCAGAGTGTTTGTAGACACTGTGCTTGCTTTGTACCAAATTTGGCAAATACTTTCAAAGACCTAATTTCTGATATATATTTTTTTTTAAAAAAATCCTATCCTCCTACCCCTAACTCGCCAACAGATTTTACTATAATTTTTTTGTCCGCTTGTATGGATACAGTAGTTATTTTCCAAATGCCTACTATTACTTCCTCAAAAAGAAGTAACATGTCCTCTTGTGTTACATTTTTGTTTGTTTGTTGGCCACCTTCACCATGGGAGAGGGGTTGTGTTTTGTTTGGATCATATGTACGATGGGTGGGAGGCAGGGGGCTTTTAGGTGTGTAAACTGCCCAAAGTAGTGGCATGCCACTTGATGGGTAATATAAAAATCGAATCAATCAGTCAATCAATAAATCCTGCTACAATTTTTTAAAAAACTGAACTTGATTTGTTCTGCCATTTAGAAGATGTGGGACCTTAAAGGTGCTTATTTTACAATGAAAGATTTTTGTATAGTCTGACTGCACATGCTCACTGAAGTGTTTTGTAACCATTTCCCAGATTTCTTGCCAGTACTTCCAGAAGTCTAGTTATAGTGAAGCTCATGTTTGGAACAGCCCAGTCTTATTCATTGTTGTAGTGTTCATGGGTCCCTTGTCCCCTCAGTTCTGGAGCTTCCATTTTTTGTTATCTTGGAGCATTAATAGCCTAGAAATGTGGCACAGCTGTGTCTGAGCTGCTGGAAAAAGTATACAATCAAAAGGAAAAAAATCCATTGTGTCGTGGATTGCTAAATTGAAAATGGACCTTTGAAAAGAGAGGAAGATATAAATTTGATTGTTTCAGCTTGGCTGTATCTGTTCTTGGTCTCTGCCCCCATCTACCCTCAGTGAAGTAATAATCTACAGGACATTGAAGTGGGCACCAGGTGGCAGCAAATCTTCAAAAGTAATTTCTTTTCTGTAGCTGTAGTAGTATTCCAGATGGACTTCAGTAATAACATTAAAAGGCTTAACATCTTGATTGTGGTCTTTAATCCATTTGTTCTGTGATAGTTCTGTAGATGTTTTTGGGAATAGCAACAGCATGAAGAAGCTTGAGAGTTGTTTTAAGTATTTACATATTTCAGTGCAGTAAAGCTTTTTAGTTTTGCATTACTAGCAGGTGTCTGAATAATCAGAGCAGTAAAGAAAAATTGTGTTCAAAGCAAAATTTTGGCTGAGGGGAGTACACTGCTTTATCAGCTTGATTTTGATTTTGTAGCAGTAAGACAGGGATATGGAGTATATTACAAAAGAGCTTATTGTTATCTTTTCTAAATAACTTGTTTATCATCAGAGTATAAAACCTAATGCTTTATTCATATGTAATAAGACAAAGTGCCATCACCTCTCATTTGTAATAGAACAGACAAGTACTTCAATAAAGTTGGGAAGAAACAGGGCCAGTCAAAGATAGTTTAATTGCCCTAGACAGAGCAGCAAATGACACACGGGTGCCCAAAGCCAAACAAGTTGCTTTTTGCTTGAAAAGCAGAAAACCCCACAAAAACCTATCTCCTGACCTACAAGGAAATCCCCCCAAGAATAATAAGTGTAATTATTAATCATTTTGCCACCCTAGATCAGCAGATATTTTCCTTTTGGGCAAAGGAATGGATTGAGATGGTTATGTTCAGGGGAATAAGGTTCATGTTAGATCCAGTGGGACAGAGAAGATAGTTTGTGAACCTTTGGTATAAGGAAATACTATGGCAAACAGTACAGTATCATTTATGATATGTTACTCTGAGGATTTATGTTGCCAGAATATGAACAGTATAAATTTGGTTATACTGCTGAAGTTGATAATATTTACTTTTCCTCTCTGAATCAAGGAAATGTGCTTGATCTAGAGAGGTAAGTGCTGTAACCAATAAAAACTGACAAATCAAATACTAAATATCCACTAGAAGAAGAAGGCCTGGCATTGAAATATATATAACGGGGATGTCAAGCAGAACTCCTTTAGGATGGGCTTTTCACAGATGGACAGCCAATACTAAGAAGGCCCTTTCTATGGTAGCCAGGCATTGCAGCATTGTGAACAGTGACATCCAGTTAAGAGCCTATGAGGCGTTCAACAATAGGAACATATGAGAGAAAGTGCATTGGTTCCTGAAGGTTCCTGAAATGAGTGGTAAGTAGTGTAGTTGCCATATTGCTAGATAATCAGTAGGTTCAGAGACCTAGCCTTATTGCTGTCTTTTGCATGAACTGAGATTACATGTCTGACTTCAAACGTAGCCCCATATATAGTACATAACAATAATCTTGGTCAAGATGACCAGTGCAACCACACTGTCTCTGTGGGTTATAGCTGGTGTATCAACCAAAACTGATAAAAGGCACCCCATGCCATCTAGGTTACTTGGAATGCAAGTTCGATATATATATATATGAGCACCACAACACCTAGATCCTGGTACTACTTCTAGGGGAGTTATAACCCCATTTACAGCAGGATGAGTGTCACTCAATCAGCCATATGACTTATAACCAGAATCTCCATTTGTTATTAGTTTATTGATCTTCATCCTGCCCATTATAGAGACTCAAGTATCAGCCCAGAATAGTCACTGCCTCACTTCATGTTGATGAGACCCCATTCCATTCCCTTCAATAACCTCTCTTAGCAGTTTCATGTAGATGCTAATAACCTGGGTTGCATATAATTTGATGATTTGAAATTGTCTATGCCATTTCATCTTCCTCAATGTAAGTAAATATATTTAGTTTTAGTGCTGTTATGTAACACTGAATATAGCAAAATGTTTAAAGTAATGGTGTATGGGGGACCTTTTTTGGAGGTTCCAACAGTATTTTTCTTTCATGTGATCCTGCAACAATGCTCTCAAAAATCAGATACTTTCAGAATCAGCTGTACACTCTGCTTTCCACATGCATGGGGGAATGAGTAAAAGTCTTGTTATGGGAATTCTGTTGTTTTCCATTAAAACACAGCAAGTCAGCTAGCTATATGCGCAATTTGAGTATAGAAGGAACAGTTTTCAATTTCTAGCTAAAAGAAATACATAAGCAGAAGCTAAAGGGTTAAGACTGTATGACATTATGTGTGTTTTTCTTGGCCTTGATATGGATTCTTTCATAAATGAATAAATAAATATGGATAACTAGATGATATCTGCTCCATTAGAAATGGGCATTTATTAAAATGTAGTGTTAAAAACAAGAGGTGTTTTTAATTTTCAACAATGGAGTTCAAACTAGATTTATACGTTTCATTCAAAAGATGTCCTTTTGTGAGTAAAAATCTCCTTAGATGACTAGAAGTGCCTTCTGTTCATTCAATGGTACTTATGGCTTCATTTCTAGGATACTCAAGCAAACATACCTCAATTGCAGTAGCTATGGAAGTGATTAGTCCTCGTTTCTCAGCAAAAGCAGACCTCTGCTTAATTTTTTAGTAAAATGTGAAACTCCTAAAAGAAAAGACAGATCCTGAGGAAGAAATTGCAAACTGAGCATCAAATAAGATAGAAATGTAACCTTTCCACATCAGCCCTGTCCTGAATCACATATTTCATTTAAGCTTTTACTTCCAAGAAAAATGATGGAATCATGGTAGTCTTGAAAATTTAAAAAATAATAATTTCGGCCAATTAATTTGTCAGTTTCTTAATATTCCACTGTAGTGACACTCTTAAATGTTTAAATCCTGTTCTAAAACTCTGTGTATGATGGGCTTTATTGTATTCCCACTCCCTTAACATGTAAATTTGATATTATTTCTTTCTACTTGCAGATTGCTCTCGGAACAGTGACAAATGTCGAGGAAGCAGTAAAGTGGATAAGTTATACTTACCTTTATGTGCGGATGAGAGCAAACCCATTAGTATATGGCATCAGTCACAAGGCTTATCAGGTAGAGAATATATGAAAAAAATAGTCTGCTTTGTGGTTCTGTAATCCTTTCCTGATGGGAGATTAAATATTTGCTATTGCTGATTTCCTGACATCAGCAACTCCAAGGAGCTTTAAAACCATGGAAAATATTCCATATTGGAAGATGTGAAAGAAAAGCATTTCCTGAGTCTTTCTGTGATGTGAAATTTTCAACAATGTTCTTGCAAAACACGTGGGATACAGTAAAATTAGTTACTGCCTTTACATATTGGGTGTGCTAAGCAGAGCTAGTATGCTAAGCGAGTTTTGCAAACTAAAAATGAATGATCCAGTTAAAATGGTGTACATATGGTAGAATTGTGTGAGAGAGAGGGAGGTGAGGGGAACCCACATGTATTTATGAAGTTGATTTCCAAAGGGTAACCACGTTAAGTCTACGCAAATGCAAGAGACTACTAAGAAATTAAACAAAAAAACAAGCTTTCATGGATGAAATCCACTTCCTCAGGCTCAGCACACCTCCTTCATGGATTTGTTGTTGTTGTTGTTGTTTAGTCGTGTCTGATTCTTCATGACCCCATGGACCAGAGCATGCCAGGCCCTCCTGTCTTCCACTGCCTCACAGAATTGGGTCAAATTCATATTGGTTGCTTCGATGACACTGTCCAACCATCTCATCCTCTGTCGTCCCCGTCTCCTCTTGCCTTCACACTTTCCTATCATCAGCGTCTTTTCCAGGGAGTCTTCTCATGAGATGGCCAAAGTATTGGAGCCTCAGCTTCAGAATCTGTCCTTCCAGTGAGCACTCAGGGTTGATTTCCTTTAGACTGGATAGCTTTGTTCTCCTTGCAGTCCAGGGGACTCTCAAGAGTCTCCTCCAGCACCACAATTCAAAAGCATCAATTCTTTGGTGGTCAGCCTTCTTTATGGTCCAGCTTTCACTTCCATACATCACTACTGGAAAAGCCATAGCTTTGACTATGCGAACTTTTGTCAGCAAGGCAATGTCTCAGCTTATTATGATGCTGTTGAGGTTTGTCATCACTTTCCTCCCAAGAAGCAGGCGTCTTTTAATTTTGTGGCTGCTGTCACCATCTGCAGTGATCATGGAGCCCAATAAAGTAAAATCTGTCACTGCCTCCATATCTTCTCCTTCTATTTGCCAGAAGGTGATGGGACCAGTGGCCATGATCTTAGTTTTTTTATGTTGAGTTTCAGACCGTTTTTTGCACTCTCATCTTTCACCCTCATTACAAGGTTCTTTATTTCCTCCTCACTTTCCGCCATCAGAGTGGTATCATCTGCATATTGGAGGTTGTTGATATTTCTTCCGGCAATCTTACTTCCGGAAATCCTTCATGGATAGTGCAAGAAAATTGTAGGCAGGAGTCCAAAAATTGATGATACATGTCTGTGACAAACAATCCAGGTCTTCTTGAGACTTGGCCTCTAGTGTCTCTGCATCAAGGCTTGGCATGTTTACATCCCTAGTTTGTTGCAGCAGAAGCAACAAAGAACCCTGTGGCACCTTAATGACTAACATTTTATTGCTTGAGAGTTTGCTCAGCATAGTGCACTTGGCATATGCAGTGACATATGTATAATAGTTAATAGACTCATCCTTCCCCTCCAGTGTAGACTCATTCTTCCCCTCCAGTGGCTGGGTAATTTAACATTGGTGAGAAAGGAGCTCCATGTTCTTCTGTAACCATCAGGAAATGTGGTCAACTGTATTGCCATTGTAAGGTCATTGCTGGTGGAGTATATTCCTGCTAACCTTTCTGTTAAACACACACCTACACACATAGTAAGAGCACTGGTGTAATCCACTGGGCAATCAAGGAAGCTGTGAATCAGTAGTTCCTCAGATTGAATTTCACTATGGCCATGGATTGACTCAATAATCTTATGCCCGTCTTATCTTGATTGGAGGGACTCTGGGTATTGAAATTCATTGGCTGATATTCTGTTGCACGGCTTTATACTGCATAGGGCTGATGATGTCATCAGCCACTGTGTGTTTTTTTGGGAATTAAAATTTTCCATTTCTTTTGTGGGGAAGCTTTTGGTGGCTGCTGGACAGGGAAGTCTTTAATTTTCAAAATTTTGACATCTTTCAGAAATTTAAGACTCGGCTCATCTCATGGTCTCCAATGGCTTCCCCACAGTAAACAGGGAACCCAAAGGAGCCTCACGACCTTCAGAAGGAAATAGGAGTTGGAAATGTTTGTTTTAAAAAAAAAAAAACCATGGCTGATGACATCATCAAGATTTCACCCAGTATATAACCATAACAAATTTTCTCATATTAATTTTTTTAACTCATTTTGTTTGGTGAATAAGGAATTGCAGTTTTACTTTGTGCTTTTCATGGAACAGAGAGAGAATATCGTAAGGCTAAGCAGGCCTTAGAATTGTGGCTGGGTAACCTTTGAAGAACTCCCAAACAAGTCCTCTTAGTACTTATTTTTCCATTTTAATGAGGCTTACTACTTACAGTATGGAAAACAGATGTATTCTTTGTTGTATGGACTCTAGCCACTTGAATACAGGCTCGAGAACAGTCTGTTTTTCTGTACTGTGTGTATTAAATTATAATTAAACCAAAAAGTCACAAATAATTGGAGTCCAATTAAGGATAATCTACCAGTTTGTCTGGATTTGGAATCTAAAGATACCATCTTTGGAACAAGTCAGGATCTTAGGTGACTTAAAGTTGGTAACTACTGCTTCCTGATTTGGACAAATACAGGGAAACTCTGTACTTAATGAGAGGCTTCTTAGCTTTGTGCAAACCGAAGAACAAGCATAAGCCAACATTTCATCTGAACAGTGTTAATATGCCTTCGGCTTTCAATGTTCATAGAAATAGTCATAGAGAACCAAATTTCTATTCCTTGATTGCATCTTGTGTAGATGTGGATTCTAAAATTTTTATGTTTTAAAAGAAACATTTAAGTCTGCTCTAAGCAAAACTTTTAGAAAGAACTAAATGAAGTTTACATGTAGTACAGTGGACTCTCGACTTACAGACGGCTCCACTTACAGACGTTTCTCTGGCCGCAAAATTTAGGTTCGACTTGCAGCCGGAGAATCGACCTACAGACCTTCAATGCATTGTAGGTCAAATAAAAACAGCCAGTTACAGATTAATCAGTTTTCAATGCATTGTAGGTCAATAGAGCCTCGACCTACAGACTTTTCGAACTGCAGCCACCATTCCAATATGGATTAATTCCGTAAGTCGATTGTCCACTGTACACTGAAAAGGAAAACCAGTTTAATATGATCTTGGGCTTTAAAGTCAAATACCAGTGTTCAGCCACTCTTCATAATAGTCACCTCTTACAGCAGTGTAAGTGGTTACATGGAGATTCGACTCTGAGCTCAGAATTAATTACCTACCACCTCACTGCTTCACATGGATATATTCCCTCTGTATTTTATAAGGGCAGATTCAGAGATTGCCCTTAGGAGGGACAGAGGGGAGTTCTATTTAAGAGAACAAACAAATATTCAGCTGTTCTATTTAAGAGAACAAACAAATATTCCTCAAAACTATTGAGTCTCTTATCATTATTCAATATAAAGACAATAAATACATGTACAGTGGTGCCTTGCATAACGATTTTAATTGGTTCAAAAAAAACCGTTATGTGAAACATCGTTATGTGAAACACCATTTCCCATAGGAATGCATTGGAAACCGGTTAATCCGTTCCAAT